GATAGTGGAATGCATTTTTATTTGTCCCTATTATTATAGTTTTGGGAGATTCTACGGTGTCGTTACGGAACCATTCTGTCAGAATTTGTAACCGTTAGATTAGCTATCTACGACGATTACATGATCATCTAACGATTATAAATGACGACAAAATATTTCCTGTAGCATTTCCCTATAGTTTTTATATATTATATTATTATGGTTTTTATATATATTCCTTCCTTTACAATTCCTTCTACATCTCGAGGTTGGGGCATTTCGCTAAAACCCTTACCAAAGCCACTGTAGACACAGAGGAAAAAAGAGGAAGAGAATAGAAGAATGCTGAAGTTCCTATCCAAGGTGAAGATCGAATTCAACGCGCTGGACCCTCGCCTGGCGTCTTGCATGGAGTTCCTGGCGCAGTGCAACGCCCGCAAGGCCAAGGAGTCGAACCCCAGCTGTCAGGTCCAGGTCAAGCGCCGTACCGACGATTTCCCACCCAGGATCACCGTCACCTTCGTCAACGGCGTCGAGGAGACCTTCGACGCCACCTCAACGCATGCGCAGGACATCCGGACCTTGATCCTCGAGAAGGGTCAGTATATCGAGACCGAGCAGATGTTCCGCGAGGCGGGCGAGAAATGGCCTGTTGTTATCCCCGATGAGGAGCTCAATCAACCGTTTACTGGAATCAAGGTGCAATTTTTTCACTGTTTGCGTGTATTTATCTTTTGGGTTTTATTTAATTTGAAGGTGGTTGGGGCAATTTGTCGTACATGTGTGTTGATGGTGAAAAGATTTGATTTTTCTTAGGGTTTATACTGTGAATCTGTTGAATTCCACTGTGTCTGTGTGTGTATTTGAATGCTTATTTCAGTGTTTATGGAATTAGAATTTTTTTGTATTGGCGATTTGCGTAATGATTGGAAACTGCTAAAAAAGGTCAGCTGATGGCTAGGTTAATAGCTGTTGTTACAAGAAAGAGCATACAAAGAAAGAAGACTCTCAGTTAGTGGCTTAGATCACACCTGAGTGCAATCTTATTGAACAATTTCAAACACTTTTATGCTTCTAAACTTCTCAGCAGCCGATCAATTCTTTTTTCATGTGTTTGCGAACTCCGTCGTGGTATCCGTTGTTATCATCATCTTGAGTTATTCTAAATCAGCTTAACTTGCTTTTGACTTTGGAGATTGGATTATGACGGTTTTCACAGCCTTGCTATATGCTTCCTGTGACTGGCTCTTTTTTGTAAGATTTTGCCTGCGCACGATTGTTTGTGGTGAACACGCAGAGTTTACTCTTCCTAGTTGGCTTTTCACGTGATGAATATACCTAGCATGTATTTTTTGGAATTTCCTTCTTCTGTTGAATTTTGCTTTAGATAGTGAAAAATTCTGATGGATATAAGTTTGCCCTAAAGCATCTCAAAGAATGTTCGGATGAGGTTGCGGGTTGTCTTGATTATAGATCGACTAGATAAGTTCAATACGAAAGAAAGAGAAATTGGTACATGCTTTATTAATAACAATCTAGTTTATGTTACTAACCAATTGCCCAGATATAATGAGAAAATGAAGCTGTGTTTTAAAAATCACATTTTCATCAAGAAATATATTTAGTCATTTTGTTATGGATGAAAATATATTACACCTCTCACTTGTTATTCTGTACTGTTGCAGCCGAAGAAAGCAGAAGAGAAGCAGCAATGATTCCACCTTCAGCGCGTTTGGATCAGCTATATGCAGTTAACATAGAATCATGATAGGCTGTATTATTGAGGTCAAAATTGTTAGAGTTAGTGTGTATGGGATGTTCTCATTTATTCAAATATGTAAACATTGCTACTTTGTCTTCGCGACCTGTTTGATGCTGAAAAGTGAATTTTCTTTGCGCTGGAAAAGATGGTTAGCCATATCATGATATTGTTTTCCATGATATTTATGGTTGATTTTTACAACTTTATCAGCTACTTTGTTATTATTCTCTCGTTCGGTTGTAAGAGATTTGCTATCTTTCGATATTTTCAGGTGTATACAAGACTTGTTTATCTTTTGATATGGGTTATACGATGAACGTGAATGAGCTTTGTTTTATTGTTGAATCAAAGTTGTGCAGTTACCAGAAAATAATCGGATTTCTCAGTGTAATTTTGAAATCATTTGGAATTTGCAACTTCGTTTTTTTTCGTGTTACTCGTGTTATTAGTAACTTTTTGCATTTGTTAATACTAATCTTGGGTCATCACACAGGAAGACCGGTTATTCCATTGAGAAATCTGTAATCTATTCTTCAAATACCATTTAAGATCGTTTCAAGTGTAGGAGTTTAATAATGAACTTGCTCTTTTTGTGTCAAATTTTAGAAACACATCATAGTAACTAAAATCGAAAATCTATCGATTTAACCTGTATTTTAATGATTACACTCATATGTGTACAGAAAAATACTATTTTGTACAAAGGAGTAAAGTTCCTTATTTAGAAGCCGTAGTCCTGTCGTTTACTGAATTTGAAACCAACATTAACCGCCTTTTCTGTTTCAAAAAGAACAATCATCGATCCTCTCTCTTGACTTCATTTGGATTCGACATCATGTCCATCATCATCTTCTCGGGCGAGTCTTCCCAATTGGCAAATGTTTTCAGGTCAATCTACAATCAGTCATAAACAAAATTGTAGACAAATAGACATCAATGCCATTAGCCCAATGAAAAAAAAATGCTCCTGCTAAATCAATATATAATACCTTTCTCCTTTGCTCTGTAAAAAGTTGTTCTCTCTTCTTGTAAGAAGCTTGAATCTTGAGAGCATTTACGCCCCCTAATCCCCACACCTCTACTTCTAAAACCGAGGCATCAACTGGCAGGTATCCCTAAATCAAATACAAATTCACGGCAAAATAAAATCTTCACTCGGGGGCACAATTCCATGCTGTTGTGATTATTTAAATCAAACTAGTTAAGAAAAATCGAGATACAACTATTTTTAGGATTTGAATCAATTATTCGTCTATTAGCGTTATTAATAGTCACTGAAAAAACCAGTTACCCTGCCGAGATATAATTTACCCTGCGACTTTATTCCACTTTGGCTATGTTTGGCAAAACTAGCTTATCTAGCTAGTTGACAGCTGATAAACTAGCTTATAGCTTATAAGTGATTTTCGAGCTTATAGCTTATGACTTATAGTTTAAAATGTTTGGTAAAATTAGTTGAAATAAAAACTTTAACGAGCTTATTTGAAAAAGCTACCAAAGAAGCTTATGAGATGAGCTCGAACTTTTTAAAAAAGCTCATCCTATGAAATGGAACTTATTTATGAAATGGAACTTATTTGAATACATGAAACTTATATAAACTAACCACATAAGCCATAAGTTATAGCTTATTCGGTTACCAAACATAGCTTTTATAAATCACATCCTCAGAATGAGAAATATTCATTCAATAAATGCGAACTGTGAGTTTAAGTTTTTAACAGATGAAGGGGCTTTTTTAACTGGGACGTAAATTCTGCGTGTTAATTACCTGACTTGGGAAAAGAGTTCCATGTTGGTATGTTTTATCGACAGCATGATGGCGCACAGTAATTCTCGCAAAATCCTCATCCATAAATAATCTCTCGTTTCCAATATTCCCACCAAACCCAACTCCCACTGGCTTTGGATGGGCATCATAAACCCTACCAGTCGGGTGCAAATGGCTATACACAAAGTTTTTCTCCCTTCCTGCTTTAAAATTTTGGATCAGTTCCAATGTGGGAAAGCAAAAATTACCTTCATGAGAGTCCCTTGACTAACCAGATGATAGCAATGCATGAAAAAGGGGACTTAATGCATACAGGCTGCCGGAAGTTCCGTAAAATACTTCTTTGTTTTCAAAACCCTGATTGGTGAGTGCACCGATAATCCATCTCCTTGCATCATTTTTTTCTTCACATGCAGCAATAAGTACTAGTAATGGACCGTTATAGCCCTCAACATTTGACCAAAACCGATTAAGACCTTTCCCATGAGCAGATGACCTGCATTTTGTTGAAAGACTGGGAAATGAACCATTGTATACAATTTGAGTGGGAACATAATTTAGCATTTCAATTAATCGTATCAGTTTAAGATGTAACAGAAACTTAGAAGAGAAAAGAGGAAGTTCGAATCATTTTCGTTTCGCACATTTTTTATTGACAAGTTTAATATGAAAAAAGGGGACAAACCTATAAAGTAGAATTTCATTTGCTTCATCAAGATCACTTGGGAAGCAAACTTTTAATATTTCTTCATGTAAAGAACCTCTCAAGGTGAGTGAGATGGCCCAGGCCCTTCCAGGGGTCAAAAGATTAGCTTTAGAAGTACCTGATGACGAGTTTTCACTAGTAGAAGAGCCTGATTGCTCTGATTTAACCTGCATTTTTTTTTCAGAAGTACGTAAAGTTCAGTGACATAAAATTTGAAAAGAATAGAATAAAAATGAAAATGCTGCATCCCCATATCCTTCTGTTTTCTTCCACAACAAGATAGTAACGAATAACACAGCATATAATGGAAGAAGTATGCTACCTCATGGATAGTGAAATAGCAAAGCCTGGCATGGAAAAATTGTACAAAGCAATCAGCAAGGTTCGGCAGATTTTTCAGAGCCCATAAATGAACTTTCATAGCGGGAAGTTTAATATCCAATTCTGAAACATTAGAGTCCCAGAAAATCAATTCAGGATAATCTTCAGCACATGCCTCGACGGCCGATAAAACCAAATGAGTGATATCAGGTAGACTGCATTTCCCTCTGCTCTTTTTCAATTTAAAAGCCCTCGAATCCCATGAGAAAATCCAACAGAACCAAAGAAGCACGAGAATGTCACGGGGAGACAATGACCCTTTAATTTTGAAATCATCATCATCGTGCATCTCAAACTGGAGATCAATCGAGAGCCCGGCTTTTGAACAAGCCGAGTAAAATATTCGGAATAAATTATTAAAAGATGTCGAAGCAGCTGTCCTCGCGCAACATTTTGTATAACCCCGCAAGAACTCAATCCAATTCACTCCATCTTTATCGGCCACGAAAAAAAGATCAATAATTGCAGAACCAAGATGACTAAACAACAGGGGAGCTTCCTTAAATAGATTATCTTGTTCAGATTCTGAGTTCTCAAAGGTCAAATCGAAACATTTCTGGAAAACGAAATGTATAAATTGAGAGCAAATCACGTAAGTACAAATAAACTATTTGTTTCCTATGGCACAGTACCAAATAACAATCACTTCTTCGACAAACAACGTACGTAAGAGTTCATTCCAGATTAAAGAAACACTTAACATCATTACAAAGAACATACGTTTTCTTAATAGAAACAGACTGAACTAATGATGTCCGATAATTCAACTCAATCAAGAACGCTCTGTAGCGCACCAAAATCAGCAAGCGAAAATGACACGAATTGCTCGAAACCCAATTCAAGAAATCACGCGATAATCACAAATTAGGGTTTATTGCTATTCATCGTAATTTCAGAAAGAATTCATGCTAATTTACCCGAAGAGAATGGACGGGGATCGATTTAGTTTGGGGATCAGAGAGAAGGGAAAAGGTCTTTTCAAGAGAGGGAAGAGCTCCAGTTGATGCAGCTAGCGATTGTACTTCGCGCAGCTCAGGCGATACTTCTTGTTCCCTTGACGATGATTGCCCCATTTTCTTGATCAATCAAAAGCTTCAACAAAACAGGAAAAGAAGAAGATACAGAATTTTACTTTAATGGCGGTGGGAGTTCCAGAACTTTGAAGATGGAAGCAAATTAACTGATTTTAGCGCTTGGGCTAATCAAGAATTTCATCACAATTTTTTATAATTCAATAAAACAAAAATTCTCACCATTTTCAGTGCCTCGTCGTCAAATGCTTCACCTTCAACCCACTTATTCACAGGTTTTATGAGTCTTCTTTATTTGGGCCTTGGGCCCATCTTATGATCCACAATGCTGAGCGCATCTACAAATTGATTTTCTTTTCTTTTATACTAGTG